TGTGGTGCTGGGGGATTGAACCGCGGTCCCTGTGCTTTGCCAAGCTTGTTCCAAGTAGGTGCTTTAGACCACTGAGCCATCTCACCAGCCCCACTGATTGGAGAACTTTGCATTGAGCTATATTCCAGCCCCTTTTAAAATTATTTATTTTTTTAAATTTTGAGGCAGCGTCTTGCTAACTTGCTAAGCTGTCTGGGCTGGCCTGGGCTTGAATTTATGATCCTCCTACCTCAGCCTCCCAGAGTTCCGAGGTTACGGGTGTGTGCCACCCACAATGCCTGCCTGGAATGGCCCTTTGTCATGTGACTCAGGACAAGGGCCTGCTCAGCCAGCACAAATGTCCCCGCGGATGCCTTCCGCTGGGCAGCTGCTCTGCACATGGCCGCACTCGGGGCTGACCAAGGCAGGGCTCCGCCGCCTGGGAAGGAGAGGGGCTCACCTGCCACAGGTTGGTGCGGTTGGGCTGGAACCTGCTTCCCCACGGGTAAGCCTGACCTGCAGGAAGAGCAGGCACCACAGAAAAGTGTGAGGGAACGAGAAGGACATTAGAGGGTGACAAGAGGCCTGGGGCCATTTGTTTCCTGTGTCCAACCCTTCCACCTGGGCATTGCACTGGGAACCCTTCACTTCTGATTTGCTTTTTTTTTTTTTTTTTTTGTATTTTAGGACAGGGTCTACAGGGTCTCACTACAGAGATTGGACTCTAGTGATCTACCAGTGTTCAGCTGCCCAAGAGCTGGGATTACAGGTAGCGCCACCATGCCCAGTCTCAATCCACTGTCTCAGCGCGCCCCGGGGATGGGGCCAGCACGACACGCAGGGGATCGAACCCAGCTGCTACATCTGCCTAAACAGTTTTTTGTCGAACTGGGGATTGAACTCAGGCCCCTGTGCTTGCCAGGGAAGCACTTATTCCACTGAGCCATCTCCCTGGCCCCAGTTTTTTGTCTTTTTGAGACAGGGTTTCACTATGCAGTTCAGGCTGACCTTGAACTCTGTAGTTCAGGCTGGCCTGGAACTTGCAATGACCCTCCTGTCTCAGCCCCCCAAGTGCTGGGATTACAGGCATGGCCACTAGGACCGGCTCTACATTGTTCTATTTTACTTAGTGATTGATTTTGGTGCTGGGGAATCACAGCTGGGGCTACACCCCCAGCCCATTTTAGTTTTTTACTAATAACTAAAGGATCTCTTTAAATTGTCCAGGGACAGAACTCAACTTATGATCCTCCTGTCTCAGCCTCCCAAGTGCCAAAGTTACAGGTGTGCACCACTGCACCTTGCTTACATTTATTGAAATGTAACTTATAAGACTGGGCATGGTGGCATGTGGCTATAATCCTAGCACTTGGGAGGCTGAAAACAGAAGGATTACTATGAATCCGATCTGTGTAGTAACACCCTGTAGACTCTGTACTAAATTCATAAAAAAAAGAAAGAAATGTAATTTATAGTGTGGAATCTCTCCAACAATAAAATGCTGTATGTCTGCTTTTCTTTCCATTCTTTCAGTTTCTCTTTTTTATGGGTTTGTACGGGCATCCTGGACATTGGCGTCACCACAAATGATCCCTCACCATAGATGGTTCAAACTTGCGGCACAGAGGGACAGCCCCTTCCCACTCTGAGGAGCTCCCAGAGCCAGCAGGCTGGGGCGAGGACAGGGAACAGCCCTGGCATCCGTACCCTCCAAGCCACCCCGCGCAGCGAACTCCCACTCCTCCTCGGTGGGCAGCCGGCGGCCGCGCCATGCGCAGTAAGCCTGCGCGTCATTCCAGCTCACGTGCAGCACGGGCAGCTCCAGCCGGTCCCTGATGCCGGAGCCAGGACCTGCGGGCTGACACCGGGAGGGGGTGAGACCTGGGACAAGAAGCCTGCACCCACCTGGGGCCTGAGCTCAGCTCCACAGCCTGATGGAACAGGACTGTGGGAGAGACCCGTGAGCCAGCAAAGGGCCAGAGACGCCCAAGAAGCGGGTGGGCAGCAGGGGAAGCAGGGAGGGTGGAGGACCGCTGGGTGCTGCACTGGGAGCCTGGGTCCCCGCTTACAGCTTGGTATCTCTGGGTGGATGAGGGTCTGGCGGAGCCAAGTCCCCAGAGTAAGCCAGGAGAGGCCCACAGTGGGGTGGAGAAGCCGGCACTTACCTGCCTCCAAAACGCCCTTTCCACCGGCAGCCACCAGAGGACCGGCTGCAGAAGGAAGAAGGGGTGCGGGGTGCTGTGGCCAGACGGACACGGGGGCTAGGATCGTCACAGCGATCTGACCACCGGCATTAGGGGCCCGGATGTTCTCTCAGGGTGCAGAAAGTGCCGAATTCCGCATTCCTCTGAGCTTTTATCAATCACTGAACAAGCTCAGCGCCTCCTCCCCTCCCATGAGTGCATACTGGCCTGGCTCCTCCACAACAGTTTCCATCACCTCCTTTCGGCCTCCAGCTCTTGGGCAGGTCTGCCTGTGCACGGTGGCCTGGGTGACCCCGATCCCACAGTATTCTGGACCAATCCCCTCTTCCATCCCCTCAGCTGCAGGACCTGTCCCCTCACCTTCATCTGCTCGGCAGCAGCATTTCTTAGCTCACTGGAGACCAAGTCCTCAAAGACGAAGCTCCACCCGAACTGTTCGGCCTCTGTCCGGTACTTTTTCTCCTTGACAAACTCCCTGGAAAGAGATTTCCCTGCTCGCAGCCGAGGGGTTGGTGCCCAACCTTTTCACAGCGACTCCTTCGAAGCTGCGCTGAGCAGGCTCTGGAATTAAGATCAACTGGTTTTCTGTATTAACACATGGGCCTAAGTGACCCACCGATGAGCCACGAGCCGGCGGCTGGCACGCAGAAACAGCACTCTCCATGCCAGCGGTCACGCTAGAGACCTCTAGTGGCCTGTGAGGTCTCTGCAGGCAGGATAACCCCGCAGCTCAGGTGCTAAATCTCACCACGTTCTAAGGCAACAACGGACGACCTCAGAGAAAAAAACAGATCTCTCACTAAGCAAAGATTTACTGCTTGGGAGGTCTTTGACCCATTTTCACAAAACCCAATTATTATCCATTTTGCCTTATCTGTTCCCTGCACTTCTCTCCCCCACCCACCCATGTTATGGATCCAAATAAATAGTTGCCAGTTCGCAGAAGTTGGGGTCTTAGCCATAAGAGCTCACTGACCTTCCCAGGCTCCCGAATACCTTATCACGTTATCTACTGTCTTTTATCCCTTGCCGTTCACTTGCCCAGGAGCTTGGGAGAGTGGCCAGCTCCTGAAAATCCCGCTCCTGCTCCAGGAACCTCTTATTCCTCTGTCCAGTGAGAAACCCAAAACAGGGCCAGGGGGATAGCTCAGTGGCTTAAGTGACAGCCTGGCAAGTGCAAGGTCCCAAGTTTGATCTTCAGTACCAAAAAAAAAAAAAAAAAAGGAAAAAAAGGAAAGGAAAGAAAGCCACAACAGGGTTTTTAAAGTGCCAAGGAATTAATCTAAAAGCCCAAGCAGAGTTTCTTTGCAATTAGGACATAACTCACAATAGTAAATTTTTTTCCTTGTATTTAGGGAAGGGTCTACAGTGTTTACAGGGTCTCACTACGTAGATCAGACTCTTAAGTGATTCTCCTGTTTTCAGCTTCCCAAACGCTGGGATTACAGGGGCATGCCACCATGCCCAGTCTCATTCGCCCTCTCAGCGTGCGAGCCCCCGGGACGGGGTTGGCACAGTATGCCGGGGATCGAATCCCGGCCACTGTGCTCTGCCTAAGCAGGTGCTTTAGTTCACTGAGCTATCAGGCTGGCCTAACACACAGTAAAATTAACTTTAGCATATAGTTCTATGAGTGTTTACCAAGTGTGCAATCACTCCCATAACCAAGTGCTTGCCTAGCATGTGTAAGGCCTGGGTCCCAACCCAGCAGTATGTGTGTGTGTGTGTATACCACACACACACACACACACACAACCAGTCCCAACAACCACTCCCAGAATTGCTGCATACCCCTACAACTACGGATGTGCTTTTGCGCCCCATGGTTTGCCTCTCCCAGACTGCCGCAGAAACGGAACTCTCTCATGTGTAGTCATTCCGAGCCCGGCTTCTCTCACTTGCAGAACGCCTCACAGATGCATCTGCACTGCTTCAGCGATGGTCACCTGCTCTGTTCTGCTGAGGAATACAGAAGATTTACTCCACACATCCCCAGCTGAAGGGCATCCTTCAATGCCTCCACTTTTTAGAGATGCATGAAGGTGCTGAGCAGGAGGCTTAAGAGGGAACAAGTCTCTTTTCTAAAGTTGTCCTCACAACAATCATGGGAGGCAGACAGCATGTATGGAAGGCGCTGGGACAAAATTAACACACCTAGCCTTCAGGATGGATTTTCCTGCAGTTTGATATGGATTAGTCCTTTTCTTCCAGTACTAGAGCTCAAACCCAGGGCCTTCACATTGAGCTATACCCTCAGCCCTATTTATTTTATTTTGATTTTGGTGACATTGTCTCACTAAGTCACTAAATTGCCCCGGCTGGGCTCAAACTTGTGATCTTCCTGCCTCAGCCTCCCAGATCTAATACATTTCAGCAGGCAGATTACAAACAATGAATTGCTTTCCTTAACAGTACTCTGTTTAAGTCCTCTGATGTAAGAAGAGATTGTTTACCTGTCAAAGAGGCTTTGAAAACGCAGTTGGTGACTGGGAAATTTTGAAGCAATACTACTAACCAGGCCTATGCAGGTGAATGAATGGCTTATGAATCTCTTACCATAGAAGCAGAGACAAATTATAGGACAGTAAACAAAATTTAGGTACTTGTTCGAGGTGACATCGCATTTCCATGATACAATAGCTCATAATTTCAAATACAAGAATGCATATTGTTCATCGGGGCTGGGGAGATGGCTCAGTAGAATAAGCACTTGCTTGGCAAGTGCAAGGGCCTGAGTTCAATCCCTGGTACTGCAAAGAAAAAAAAAAAAAAAAGGAATGCATATCGTTCATCTATTTCTAGTTGTCATGATACGGTACCAATGTGATCAGAAGTTATCTATCCTTCAGCTTAATTTTATTACTTTGGATATTTTTTAAAATTTGGAGTTTTGAGGCAGAGTAGTGCTCTGTAGCTGGCCTTGAACTCATTGTGTGGTCAAGCCCAGCCTCAAACTCAAGGTGCTCCTCCTGTCTCAGCCTCCCAAATGCTAGGATTACAGGTGTGTTCCACTAGATCCACCAATATGATCCTTTTCCCAGTCCTACATTCCTCCAAAAAAAATAGGTCTCTATAGGATGTTTGGCTTCTACTCCTGTTCTCAATGATGCAGCCAGGACTGGGACTAAAGCACTGGTATAAGAGTGAAAGGGAGCTGGCCAAATAGCTCAGTGGATTAAAGCACCTGCTTAAGCAGATGCAGGGGCCAGGTATTCGCTCCCTGGGCCTGCTGGGCCTGCCCCACCCCCAGGGCATGCTGAGACTGTGACTGAGACTGGCCGTGTTGATGTGCGCCTATAATCCCAGCAATTGGGAGGCTGTAAACAGGAGAATCACTACAAGTCCGATCTAGCAGTGAGACCCTGAACACCCTGTAGACCATTCTCTAAAAAAAATACAAAAAAAAAAAAAAAAAAAAAGGAAAAAAAGAAAGAAAGAGTGAAGGATTTTCCCACATCCAGTACTCTGGAAGGGAAGGCAGGAGAAGGATGACTTTGAATTTAGCTTTGACAACTTAGTCCAGCTGAGCCTCAGTCTACAGTGAGAGCCTGTCTCAAAAGAAAAAAGGGCTGGGATTTAGCTCAGTGAGAAGGTTCTGGGTTCTATTCCCAGTACAATGAATGAATGAATGAACTTTTTAAAGAATGAATTAAGGACTTGAGTTCCAGGCCCACCCAGCTCTTCTACTGAAGGGGTCAAGTTAAACTTCTCTGGCCTTGAGATTCATCTGAAACGTGGAGTTGACACCTTTTATAGTGTCCCTAAGATGACAAATGACAGCAAACAAGCTCGTTTCCTTTTAGACATCAAGAATGAAGGTTTGAGGCCAGGGAGATGGCTGAGTAGAATAAGCACTTGCTTGGCAAGTACAAGGGTCTGAGTTCAATCCCTGGTTCCACCAAAAAAGAAAAAGAAAATGAAGGTTAGAAAGAGCCTTTATTCCCCCTCAAAAACACCTGATATACCTGAAGTCTTTATTGGTGACAGGAAATATGTCGATGGCAAAGGGTTCTACTGTTACCTCCCGGACGGGCCCTTCACCATCTCTGGCATCTGGAGCATCTGTTCCCATCAGGAACCGCCCACCCGGCAGCTGGACCATGTCAGCAGCCCGTGCGCCTCCTGCAGAAAAGGACAGGGATCACATCCACAGACACGGATCAAGGGGGAATATCCTGGTGGAATGTAATACTCATCAGGGTCTAGAACGACAGTATGCGGAAGCTGAACAACTGGACTTCAGCCAGGCGTGGTGACGCACACCTGTACGTCAGCACTCTGCAATGCTCAGGCAGGAGGACTGAGCGCTGAACGACAACTGAGTGACTAGTGAAGCCCCCTCTCAAGATAGACAGAAGGGCCAGGATGACTCAGGGCAAAGGTCCTGGGTTCACTCCCCAGTACTACAGTGACAACGAAGATGGGCCTTAAGTTCATGCTGGTCACTTGATTTGTTGAGGGACCTTAGGCAAATTACTCAGTCTAAGATCCAATTTCTTAATCTATAAAATGGTAATAACTTCTATTTTATAGCTGAGAACGGTATGAATTAAGAAACATGTGAAACATTGAGCTCACCCCTTGTATCTTTAGTCAACACAACCCCTTCTTTGTCCCAGCCAGGTAAAATTTGAAACTATGATCTTAAATGTACGCACTTTTTCTTTTTTCTTTGTCAGACAGCATCTCACCAGACAGTCAGGATCATCTTGAACTATCTGCCTGCCTCAGCTTCCTGAGTGCTAGGATTACAAGTGTGGGCCGTTGAATATACAGCTTGTTTTGTTCTGTTTTTTTGAGATAGGGCCTCACTGTATAGTTCAGGCTGCCCATGAACTTACTATGTAGCTCAGGCTGTCTTTGAACTTAGGGCAATCCTCCTGCCTCAGCCTCCCAAGTGCTGGGATTAAAGGTATACTCCACCCTATCCAGTCATACATGGCTTGTACCTAGCATTTTTTGTCTATTTTTCTGCTTATGCTATTTCTATTCTTTTTCTCCATCTCTTATTTATCTTTCTTCTTTTTTTGAGACAAGTTCTTATGTCTCCCAAGTAGGTCTTAAACTCATGGGCTAAAATGACCTTTTCCCTCAGCCTCTCAAGTGCTGTGACTATATACCCCAAACACCAAGTTGGGTATAAATTCTTTTTTTTTTTTTTTTTTTTTTTTTTTTTTTTTTTTTTTTTGTGGTACCAGGGATTGAACTCAGGCCCTTGTGCTTGCCAGGCAAGTGCTTATTCTACTGAGCTATCTCCCCGGCCCCTAAATTCTTTTTTTTTTTTTAAAACTTATTTTATTATTGTGTGTGTGTGTGTGTGTGTGGCCAGCTCAGCCCACCAGGGGGCGGGGCTGGCTGGCATGTGGTGCTGGGGATTGAACCTCAGTCCCTGTGCTTTGCTAAGCTTGTTCTAAGTAGGTGCTTTAGACCACTGAGCCATCTCACCAACCCCTAAATTCTTAATAATGCGCACTACTCTAACATACGCTGCAGAAGGACGGGGACCACATCTATCTTGCCTGGGTGGCCTTGGCACAGAGCACAGATGCACCATGGGTATAACAACTGAATGAGCTCCTTATAAGCTTGCTGTTTGGATGCCTCAGAAAAGCACATAATAAAAGTCTTCCATTTCTTTATTTGGTAGGAAGAAACCAAGGCCCAAAAGAAGAGCTCCTTTAAGAGCTGGTTGGAGGGGCCGGGGAGATAGCTCAGTAGAGTAAGCGCTTGCCTGGCAAGCACAAGAGCCTGAGTTCAAACCCCAGTTTCGCCAAAAAACAAAAAGAGCAGGTTTGAGTTTCCAAATGCAGCTCAGTGGTACACTGCCAGGAAAAAGCCAATCTCTGGTCTCAGGACCCCACCCAGGTCCCTCAATTCAGCGATGCTCCCAGAAGCGATTCTCTGGGAACAACAATGAAGACGTCTTCAGTGCTTTCGAGGACATCTGAGCACCTCAAGTGCTCACAGGCGGAGACTAGGCCTTCTAGTGTTCCTCAGGACTGTGTCTTCAGCCACTTTTGCATTTCAACAAAACACATGCTCTTTTTATTCAACTGCAGTTTCTTCTCAACAAATAAATTTCATCATATTAATATGCTGAGCTGTAAAAGGCTCAAGTCAACAACTTCTGATGTTGCCAGGCCAACAGATAACCCACTACTATTATGGATTACTGGACTATACTGGATTATTTTGCTGAATTCACACACCTACAATATTTAAATGGCAATATCCATCTCTGACAAAACTAAACAAAAAAGGGGATACAAATGAAGACCATTTTGTATCTGTATATACAAAATAGTATAGATATATAGCTACTTTCTCTTAATTCAATGAGAAGAAAGATTTGTACTAATAGTGTTTGTGGACAGGATCTCATGTCTGCATTTTGTACTATGAAGACAACAATATGCATTAATTACTGAAACTGTCCTAATAGGTTTTGAAACTGTCTCACTGCTATTTGTTTCTCAATAAAATTAATTTAAAAAATGAATTTCATGGAAAAATTAAAAGGTGCAAGCAGGTAGCAGGCAAATCACAAATTAAAAGGGAATTAAGAAACAACATTTTTTTTTTTTTTTGGTGGAACTAGGGATTGAACTCAGGTCCTTGCACTTGTCAGGCAAGCACTTATTCTACTGAGCTATCTTCCTGGCCCCAAGAAACAACATCTAATCACAGTGCATAAACTTCATTTTGACTTGAATCCAATCAAATTATAATTTAAAATATTTTTGAGATAAACTGGCAGTGGTGGTAGACGACTATAATCCCAGCACTGTGGGAGGCTGAGTGAGAAGGATCCAGATTCAAGCTCAGCCAGCCTAGGTAATTCAGTGATTTGGGGATATCCTGTTTCAATTAATAATAATAATAATAATACGAAAGACAAAAAAAAAAGACAAAAAAAAAAAAAAAAAAAAGGCAGGGCATGTAGTTGCAAAGGTCCTGGGTTGAATCCCCAGTACTGGGGGGAGAAACTGAAGAGGTGAACGTGCGAGACTGGAGAGCGTACTGGAGCACTGCCGACGCCCAGTGGAACCGGTACTGCAATTCTCTCCGCGACCTCCTGAGTCCTGAGCTGAATTTATCTGAATGAACCGGGGCACGGCTGAGATTCACTTCCGGTTCCAGGATAAGGGGTCCCCTCCAGAGAGCAAGAGTGGTGACAAAGTGGCAACTTTTCAGGCCAGGCGATAGGTGCGGAGGGAGGGAGTGGTCTGCATTCTTCTCACGTTCACAGATTTCAGAGAAGCAGCAGAGAGCTGGTGCCAGAGCCCCGCGTGACAACAGAGCCCCGCGCCGTCCACCCTCCCTGGCGAGCTCATTCCGAGATGGGCAGCGACCCCTTCCCGGTGCACCCGAGACAAGTGGCGCCGGAGGCCAGCACACTGACCTAGCTGGATCCACGGGCCAGACAGGAGCCACAGCACCGGCAGCAGGGACGGCGACGCCGAGGTACCCATGAGTGCAGCAAGCCGGCGGAGCACCGCTGCGCACGCGCGTGCACGCGTCAGGCTGGCGGCCGCACCCCCAGCGCGTGCGCAGTAGCGTTCAGGAGTGACCGCCTCGCGGTCCTGGAATGTGCTGGGGATTAAGGAAAACCAGTGTTGCTAGTTCCTATCCCAGCGGTGCCTTCACCAGTCTTATGTAGCTTCGGACCTATTTCATGTCCTCTTATATTGACCTTTAGTGCATTATTCTACTGTAAGACCACAGAAAGGTTTCATCTCATCCTTCATTGCATTCACTGTAGGATACAGCTGGGCCCTCAAAATACAAAACTTTTGCCATAAAAGCTTACTCAAGGACTGCAGCTATTGGCTGCATGAAAATATCATGGAAACAAGGAGAAAATACTAATTTGAAAAAAATGGTAGAGTTGGACGTTTTACAAAAGCATTAAGTTTGAAACTAAGTCACTCTAAATTTTTTTAAACCTATTAACCCATCCTTAGTTCTTTTTTTCTTTTTGAGATGGCTTCGCTATGCAATTCAGGCCGGCCTTGGGCTCACTTTGTAGCCCAGGCTGATTTAGAACTCACAACAATCCTCCTGCCTCAGCTTCCCGGCTTACAGCTACGTGCCACCACCACGGGGCCAGTCATCCGTTAAGTCTTTTTCTTAATCATCTGATACCGGGTCAGACCCGTAGCGAAGCTCATCTCAGCAGAGCTGTCTCCCCAGTCCTCATCCTTAGTCCTCAACCATCATTTTCTGTTCAGTATTGAGGCAGGGTCGTATTTGCTCAAACTGGCTCCAAATTTGGGATGATCCTGCTACTTCAATCACCACACAAGGTTCTCGCCTATTGTTGCCACTTCATACTTACAGCTTTCTCAGTTTCCTCGGCTCTAATGCAGTCACTCTCTTGCCACTGCAACATGACTTTCGGGTATTACCGAGGCAAAGTCTCAGCGTGTAATGCAGGCTGATCTTTACCTGTTAGGCAGCCCAGGCTGGCTCAAATTCAGCAATCCACTTGCCTCAGCCTCCTGAGTGCTGGGATTATACGAATGCACTATGTTTTTGTTTTGGGGGGCATAACTCTTAAAAAAAAAGAAACACTTCATTATTATTTTAATCTTTTATTTGGTACAGGGTCTCCCTATGCAGCTCACTCAGTGATCCTCCCGTCTCAGACTCCCCAGGGCTGGGATTGCAGGTGTGCGCCACCACGCCCACTTTCGGTGGCCAGCACTGCAGCACACTACAGGGTCCTTGCGCCTGTCAGGCTGGTGCTTAGACTGCATAGCTACCTCCCCAGCCCACGTTGTTGTTTTTTTGGTGACTGGCTCAGCACGCTGCTGGTGCAGCATGTGGTGCTAGGGATAGAATCACAGTCCCTGAGCTTGCCTAGGTTGCCTAACCAGGCACTTCAGATCGCTGAGCTAGCCTGCTGGCCCAATATAACTTTTCTGAGAGAGCATTTTAGCAAAGGTATTTCCAAAGCATGAGAAGTCCAAGTGATTTTACTTAGAAATTTACACTAAGGTGACAGGTGCATCCAAATTTTTAAATTATTCAAATATTTAACAGAGAATTGCTGCTTAATTTAAAACATATCCACAGGGAATTATTTAACCATTAAAATTGTTTTTCAAGGAACATTTAATAAACAATTAACCTTACGTTAATGCAGCTAAAGCAAAGCCACCTCTTCTCTGATTACAAAGGACCTGCTTCACGTGTGTACACAGTGCAACCAGAAAATACTGTAGTTAGAATTCCACATCATAATTTGAATAGTTGCCAAGTGTTCTCTTTTTTTCATGTGGGAAAAGAAAATTCCTCTGAAAATCACTTGAAGCTTGAACAAAAATTCCACAACTCTACTCCTCAGGATCATTCCGCAGTCTTCAGGATTCGTATGATACAGGAAGCTTCCCCTCAGCCTTTGAGAGAGGACATTCCAGCCCGCATGATCTCGTCGACCAGGAGGATATTGCTGGCAATCACAGTGCTGAAGGGGAGGAAAACACACCAAGGCTCAGCTGCGAGCTCTACCCCACGCGGACGGCATTTCGCGGCGGATCCAGCTCGGCCCCTGTTCACTCTGCGCTAGCTACTGTAGTCCCCTTACATCCTTTGGGGGAGTGAGGAGTCTGGGACAGGAGACAAAGGACAGATGCTTCCCTAGAAGCTGGTTCAGTTTTCATTTGCCCAAACTCACCAGGAGTGAAGCAGCTGTTTCTTCACACAGTAGTTATCCCACACGCCCGCTTCTGCTGCTACCATTGGCTCACCTGAAAGGTAACAAAATCAGAGCAGGCACAGCACCGGACAATGAAAGAACAGGAACTTTTTTTATTTTGTTTTTTTGAGAGACAGTCTCATTCTGTAGCACAGACTAACGCTGAACTCAAGGCAATTCCTCTGCCTCACCCTCCAGAGGGCTGGGGTTACAGATGAACATCACTATATTCTGCTGCTTATTCTATTTTCCGAATAAAGCACTGCCAATTCCAGAACAGAAAATAACACCAATTAAGACCTTCATAAAAACTTATCTTCTGGGCTGGAGAGATGGCTCAGTGGTCTAAAGCACCTACTTAGAACAAGCTTAGCAAAGCACAGGGACCGCGGTTCAATCCCCCAGCACCACATGCCAGCC